AAGGTTCTGGATTGGTGCCAGCTGTTGAGGCCACGTGTCTTGTGTATAGTAGAGAAATATAATGGTTTCTTCACTCTTCATTTTTACTTTGCTCGTTTCAATTTTGCAATATCTATGTCCGTAACACTCTTCTTCTTCATAATAAAACTTTTGCTACCTTTCTTCACTAATGGATTTCCATCATCTGTAATTCCAACAAGAAATAAGAATGTGGTTGTCACGCCCCAAACTCAAGGGGGCAACTGACTCCTAATGCCAAAACTCAGGACTGAGCCGACCCTACTGAACCATTTGCTACTAGCGCATGGCAGCCAGACACAATCAAGGAAACAAACAAGTATATCTTGGCTTAAAACTAAGCCCTCGGCCGGCAAGGCCCCTGTCAATTGATCTATAAAAGAAACAGCTACTCCCAGCAGATCATATAAATAAATAGCCAACTAGCACAAAGTCCTGATTGGGCCGTCGAGGCCACCATGATCTCTATAGCGAAACTGAAAACAGGTATATATCAATACAATACATCAAACAGCTAACAACCATCATCAAACTAACAAACTAGGCCAGCATGGCCATAACGTAGCTGTACACCCCACACACTAGTCTATAAGCCTTTAAGAGTAGTAAATATTGGCGGGACAGGGCCCCAGCCTACCCATAAAAATATATACAACAAAAGCTAACAAACCTCCCAACTCTGGCAGCTCCAGAAGAAAGGGGCTAGCCAACCAGATAGAAGTCAATCATGCTGCTGAGGAGGTCTACTGGGTCGTCTATCGGGTCCTGCATACATGAATGCAGCGTCCCCAGGCAATGGGGTGTCATTACAAAATAATGTACATAGTATGAAAGGCTATAGACTAAATGTGTAAGTATCATAATATACCAAAAGCAATCAGGTAAGGAAATCAAATTTAGATAAGCAGGCTAACCCACTACTGAATCTAAAAAAATACAATAATGATCAAACAACAACCTAACCAAGCCCCCATAAGCTCGACAGGTACAAACAACATACCACCTACCTAGGCCCCCATAAGCCCAGATGGTGCCAAATCAATCTACATACCCATACTGGTAGCCCTTTGTCTTTGTAAGAAGTCACATAACCCTTTTTGGCAACTATATAACCCCGTAGGCATCACATAGCCCTCTTATGTAACATTATAGCTTTGTGGGCTACACATATCCCTCTTTTGCATCAACACAGCCTTGTAGGTAACACATAGCCCTCTTTGGCTTAAAAATAGCCCCGTAGGCAACACATAACACTCTTTGGCATCAAAATAGCCCCGTGGGCAACACATAGCCCTCTTTGGCGTCAAAATATCCCCGTAGGCAACACATAACCCTCTTTGGCATCAAAATATCCCTGTGGGCAACAGATAGCCCTCTTTGGCGTCAAAATATCCCCGTAGGCAACACATAACCCTCTTTGGCTTCAATATAGCCCTGTGGGAAACACATAACCCTTTTTGGCAATAACATAGTCCTATTAAACAAGATCATAGCCCTATAGGCAGTTCATAGCTCAACAACTAACCACAATAGCCCCAAGAGCGACAACAAATAATTGAATAGGCTAAAGGCGAGAAATTTAGCTATAAACAACATGTATGAATAATCTCCAAGTCGTTCCTAACTTAGGGTCTTTCTTAATAGATCGTGAGTCCCTAAAATGAGGTTTTATAGCCACCAAATCAGCTAACCACTCACAATTACATCTACAAGATCACCAACGTTAACTACTTCTAAGGAAACATGTCGAACAAAGGGAATAACCTTAACTTACGTTTCCAATGGACGCTCGAAAGACCGTAGTTCCTTCACGAAAGTTGTTCCTTATGTCCTAAGCTTCGCAAACACTATATATACACAGCTGGTA